TATACAAAAATATGTACAATGGTATGAGGAGGAATCATCTTTACCTCCATGCCCTGTCAACCCCAATGGGGGAGGGCTCTTTTATCAGAATCTGTGAATGGAGAACACATTTCATTTAGTCAGAGCTATGACAAGATGTTCAAGCATGAAATAACTAAACATAAAAATAATAAATACAACAATGATAAAACGCATAACTGGCATTTACTAAAGAAACAGTAGGATTTGAGCGTTGTGTTACTTTGCAGATCAGAGCAAGTTTCCGCGCCTTTCCCTCCTCTCAAGTTAGCATATTCTAGGCAATTTAGCAAGTTCTTACCTTCGACTCTTTGTGGAGCTTCTGGAGAGGATGCTCTGCTGGTTTGAGACTGCAACCACTCATCCGATAAATCATGATCAGGTTCTCTGAACGAATCCGAGGCATCAGTAACAGCAGCAGCTGATACGCTGCGAGAGGCGGAAGGTGTGTCTCTGCTCCGGGCTCTGGGCTGCAGAGACGGACCTCCACCGGGGTCTCCACTCTCTCCCCTCTCGACCTCACTCACTGATCCGCGCGTCAATCTCTGAAGCAGTGTCAACTGCTTATAACTATTCTTTTTCGCCATCACTCTTGCTATACTATCGCTAAACTAGATCGCTGATCCGTCTCAATGCTACGCTATCATTGCTCTGCTACAGCACCACGCTCTCCAAACACTCCCACACTCCTCCTCCTTCTCTCCACTGACTTATGACCTCTCCTGTGGTGCAATACTGCATCCTACTGGTGTTGATTTATCATTACAGGTACATTTGCACTATATATCAGTATTGTGGGTCATTCACAAGGTGCGCCAGACATTACTGTAGCCTCCCGTGTAATAACACGAAAAACTCGTCAAACTCGTCATGGGCAGTGAGCGTTACTATTCAACATGACGACTTTTGTCGCGGGTTGACAGGGCATGTATCATGGGGGTCGCGGGCTAAAAACTTTGGGAACCCCTGATTTAGCCTACTGTATTTTTGTTCATTCATTCGTCCCGTGCCCCTCCTGCAATTGCTCTGGGCCCCCACTTTGGGAACCACTGCTGTAGAATAAAACAACAGTTACATTCATTTAAAGTCAAATGAACGTTTGTGACTTGTGTGCACCACAGTGATTGGTTTAGAGGACAACCACAATCTTCCCGTAGCCCTCAGTCCGGCTCCTTTCAGTTCAAGTGGTTAGAAAAGGTGTTTTACAGCCTTCAAAAATATAACTGCTACTTCAAGGATGTGATAAAGGGATTCTACTACAGTTATCTGGACAAAGGCACACAACAGACTAGGGATTAGTTTTTTGGGAGATGTCTTTATGGCTGCCAAGGAGGCCTGCGCGTCCTACCCTGCCAAAAGCCAAGTCCCGCTTGATGCTCTGCAGGCAGTTTATTTATTCAGAACAGAAAACCCACACCCACCTCTACACCTTCTCCACCGACACCCACTGATGACTGCTGTCGTTGTGTCCTCGGGCAAGACACTTAACCCCACTTTGCCCAAAGCCCCCACTGAAAGATCAAGGCTATGCTCACACTCAGAGAGCAGCCGTCCTCCTGTGGACTCACCACCTGCAGAGGGTCAGTGAGGGGCTGGTGCTATGAGACTTGGGTGGCATCTCTGATTGCCACCCCCCTGACCCAGAAATGGATTAAAGGGTAGAAAATGGATGGATAGATGGAGAAAACCCACACCCTCACAAAGGAAAAGCCCCAAACTAGGTGAAGTTACACATTAACCACTTGTTGGACATCGTCTTGCAACATAGTTTCACAAAACAGCCAATTGTGGACAATGTGGATAATTATTAGCTTGGTTTCAACAGCTCAATAGTAGATTTCCATACTCCAATGTACCAAAAGTTGTCTAGACTAAATATATTCACATTCAATTAAATGATAACCCATACAATTCCACTATCAAAGGATTTTGCTTATTGCTTATTGCCGGACCACTGTATTTGAATGTGTTTGACTTACTTTTTCCGTACGTTCCTTAGTATCAAGACTTTCATGATTATTCTGATATATTTATACTTTTTTACCCATACGTCTGTTCTTTCTAAACATTATTACTAGTTTCTTTGCAGATGACAATGCAACACAATGCCATTCTTTTAATTGGATTCACTGTGGTTAACCGCGCTTCTAAGTTCAAATAAATGTTCAGCTTCAGTTCCACATATATTGCTCAGTATGAAACATTTCTACAACATTGATTGTGTCGAGAAGGTTTTGAATGTCTAGTTCAAGTTTCTTTATAGAGTCACAATAAAAAGTGCTTTACTTTTTACTTAATTAAAATACATTACCCCCATGGGAAAGCCAGATCCTGTTAGACCTCTGAATCTAAGTAGGACAGGGCCCGGTTAATACTGTGATGGGAGACACAAAAAGGGACACAGTTCTAGTGCCAAATAGTCCTTGTGTCCTTAGGCAAGACATTTCACCTAGATTGCTTTGAATGAGTTTGGTGTTTGAGTGAATGGTTTATGACAGTCAGTGGGGCCGATGGAGGAGACTGTTTGCCCCCGCACAAGGCAGCCGTGGCTACATACAGGTTGAATGGATAGCAATCTTGCTTCTCAGCAAGAAGGTTGTGGGTTCGAATCCTGGTCAGAACAGGGCCTTTCTGTGTGGAGTTTACATGTTCTCCATGTGTCTGTGTAGGTTTCCTCCAGGGTACTCCGGTTTGCCTTTCGAACAAAAACATATTCAAAAGTTTTTGACTGTGGGACGACGGACGCAAATTAGCCCAACCAGGAGAGGTGTGTTCATTAACATGCACTGTCGCAACCAAATACACAATACAAACAATCATTGCCATGTATCGAGTGAATTAATAATTACATGTCAAGTGTCATTGGGTGTCCAAAAAGCACTATATAAATCTGATGCATTATTATTACACTTACAATTAGTACTATTTTTGCCTTTCCAAAAAATGCTTCTCTGTGGTACTGGCCCCTGCCCTCCAACTGAAATACAATTCCCCCACAGGAACGTAACCTATTGTGCAAAAGCAGATTTTCTAATTGTCACAACACAAGCTCTAAACGTAGATTTCAAATGGTAGACCACTTCTGTTCCCACCCAATGTTGCCAGTCCCAACATTCACACCCTTTAAGCCTAAGTTAGTCTGGTGTGAAACATGGCCCCTGCTGTTCGTCCCCATCACAGCCCACAGCACAATGGTGATCTGATGAGACCCGCTGGGATTTGGAAAAAAACCCAGCAGAGAGACCACCGATAACAATAGTTCTCTGTATGAATCAAGCAGGGTGTCTTGTTATCCTGCATAGACACAGCTCCAGCAGTAAAGCCACATGTTGCAAACCACGGGTCACTCTGTTTTGAGAAAGCGCCAGCGTAATCTGGCATTTTTCATTTCGTACCAAGATGATATCTGTGTAGGTTCCCTTAAAGATTCTCTGTGCCATATATTTTCTTTCTCTACTTTCTCTACACATTACTCTCTGTGTCTGCATTTTGCGCTTATTTTTTGTCAGTCAACTGATAACAAACAACCATCCAACATCTTTAAATCCCTGATCATCAAGATTTGAAAAAGCTGTAATAGGGATTGCACTTGTATTCTGTTCAGATCTTTTTGGTTCATTGCAGGTCTCGAAAACAACGCTCTTGTAAAAACTTGCTGCAAGAAAGACCCCCAGTTATTCAGATTTAAAAGCTCCTTCATTAATTCATAAAACGACTTTTAAAAAAAAATGGACATGTGGTGGGCCTCACTGTGGAGAAAACTTTATCAAGCATCTCAGCATAAAAAAAAAAGTTACATCTGATTGTATTTATCTTCCCCGTGAAGTGGACTGCAAAATCTCTGTCCTCACAGAGAGAGTCCGTGGGGGTTAAAAGAGACATGGTAAAGTCATTATTCCTGTTTTTCCTGATTGTGTTGTTGTATGTTTTCTTTGGTTTTTTTTTATACATTTCATGATCGATTGTTGTTTTATTTTTCCTCCACCTTCGCTCTGCCACCCTGCTCTCTATTTTCATTCTCCTTGCTTTCTAATTTTTCCATGGGGCTATAGATTTTTGTTGAATGTATATTTCAATTTTTAATGGAGCAACCTGATCCAATGTAGTTCTTCGTCTACTGTTAAAATCATTAGCTATAGAATCACAGGGGGCAGGTAAATTATTATTTAGAATGTCAATAAAATGTGCAGCCGCTTCAGGCAATAAACGTCGCCTCCTCACCAGACAAAGACACACCACTCACACTCAATGTCCTTTTGTACATTAGCCATACAAAAGGACATACGGCTGCACAACATATTCAACATGAGCTGAAATAGACTTGAAAATATGCAGCATTGGACTTTGATTTTGTGCGAACTTGGAGCTGTCAGGAGTAAATGAGACAGAAAACTTGGATTCGTAATTAGGACATCAGTGACAGATACCGTCTTCTGCATCATTTAACTGTCATTAAATTATCTTCATACTTAAACCCCTCACATCTGTCAGAAAAAGGAAAAAGTTGTGGATGTTTTTTAAAAAGTTGTTAGGTTGGATCAGGCAGAAGTATTACTTTTCATGCTGCGGTCTGTCATCTGCGTTTGGCTTTTGTGTCAATTAGAATAAAGAATGTCGGGGAACGGTGTCTATACAACAAGTAACAAAGTTTAGACGTCAAACTGACTATTTATTCAGCTGTCATTTCTGTCTTTGAGCCGTTTTTCATGTCTCTTCTTTAGAACTTGCAAACACTAAAGAGGATGAATGTTGTATATCAATGTGTCCTCAACTGATTTTAACAATGGACATTTTAGAGTATTTCATCCACTTGGATCTACTGTCAAAAGAGTACATACTTCCAGATATGCTTCAAAATGCTTTTTTTATATAAATTGAACAGCAAGTGAAGTGTTAATTCAAAATGAGAAGACAAACTGTTTTGAGTGTGGTAAGTCTTGTTTTGACTGATATGTTTCAATTTGACTGTGTCGTCTACAAATATGACGTCAGATTTCCTCGATGGTTCGTCAATATGTCAATAATAACTCTACAATAAAAAACAATATCTAACTCTAGCATAAAAATAAGCAATATAAGTATGTCTCTATATTTGTCAGAAAAAGGAAAAGTTTAATTAACAATTGTAAACCGCTTTGAGACTCTGATCTGCAGAGAAAAGGCGGTATATAAATAAAGATTACTTACTACTACTACTACTATTTAGCATAATAAGAAAAAAGTGAAAAATCTCAAAGTTTAGCATGACGAAGAAGCAAGATCCACCCAAATGATGAAGAAAAAAATGCTGTTTATTAGTAGAAGTGTCATTGTCCCTCAAATCCCTAGTTATGATACACTTTAGTCGGTAATTTTTTTCGCCGGGAACTATCGGTAGGGTGATAGAAAGGCTACCTCCGGTCCAGAGGATTACATAATGGGGACTGCAACGCCCAGCGTGTCGCTAAGTGGGCTTGCATGGGGGTTACGGCGTCCGTGTGGCTACGGCTAGAATGTTCTCAACTAACGATAGCGCACGAGTATGCGATATGGACGGCCCATGGCTAGTTTCGATCGAGGTACTGAGGTGACGTAGGGATCACCTTCTGTGATAAGAAGAGTGACCGTTTCGAGTGGGTGGCTTTGGGGGTCCTCGTACTCTGATTCGTTGACTTGGGGGCGCCGACTCAAATTGCCACGCTCGACGGCGCTGTCGCCCCGATTTGGTCGTCTCCGGGTCTGTCTCGTCATTGCCTCCGTGTACCTGTTGAAACTATCGCGGAGTCGTCTAACTCGTCTATTTAGGACGAAGGCCGTGGCTACGGCCAGGCCGTACCCGAGTCCTACCGCGATGGCCATGACTGTGTCGGGGGCGGCCCAGGAGTAGGCTACTGGTTGGTGGTGGATGATCGGTCGCTTGGCAATCTCTTGAAGGAGGCTGTCTACGACTGTAACGTCAACGGTTTGTGCCCCCTCGTAGGTGGCTTGGACTAGGGTAGAGGGTTGAAGTTCCAAGGCCCTTTTCTCAAAGAACTCTGGTACCTCGACCTCTGCCTCGTACTGGTTTGGGTACAGGTGGTATAGTGCCAGGTCAGCACGAGAAGGAAAGTGGGCCACATGTTCTGCAAGGCGTGAAACAACTGTTAGGGGTTAGACAGAGACAGAGAGAGAGAGAGTCGATTAGTGCAGCCGAGAAGAGTGTTAGTGAGTGCTGGGCTAATCGTGTTTGAGGTCACCTGGTGTGTTCCTAACTGGGGTTTGAAGTGTGCCCTGCTTGTCCCATGGGGCTTTGTTTGTGTGGTTTGGTTTGGCTGTAACGGGCCCATCTGAGGGTGGGCTCTCTACCTTTTGTGACCTCGATTTGGTGCACTGCGGTTGAGAGTTTGTTTCCCACCCTGTATGGTCTTGACCAGCGGGGTAGCGATTTCCGGCGTAGTCTGGTGGGGCCGGTCCCCGCGTGTCCTGGGGAGTGTGCCAAGGTGTAATACCATACCTGGTTTTTGACCTGGGGGTGGTCCTGCGGGTCGGTCCTGTATTGGTTTGTCCTCCGGCGCCGGGGGAGTTTCACGTTCTCGTCACTCCGGTTTGGGGATACATACCTTAGTATTTTGGTCCCCGTCCGGTCCGTTGTTTCCACCTGTTGTGGTGCCTGACGTGTGTCATGGGCGTGTGCCAACATTACCCCCCCCCTGCTTCGAGGCACCACGAGTACCGATGAAGTGAGTGTATCGGAAGCAGAGTCTAACAGCCCATGGCGTGTCGGTAGTATGTCCCCAGCTCGGCCGGAGATTCCGAGCGTCGTGTCGATCGTGACGTCGAAGGGGCGTTCTAGTGTGGGGTTGTCGTGTCGGAGGGAGGCTAAGTCCGACCTGTCGAGGTCGGGGGCCGTCCCCCTCCAGTCCGGGTAGTCCCGTTGGCCTAGGGTTAAGTCCTGGCGTGCGTCAGGGGGGGTGCCGCGGGGTTGTCCTCCATGATTGGGGAGGTCCCCGGCGTTCCCATTGTGGGTCACTGGCCATTGTGTCGCAGCATATGCGGACGGCCCAGGCTTGGGGCACTGTAAGTCGTGTGGTCCATGTAGCATGTTCAGATGTGGGCCAGGGGGGTCGTTGTAGGTTTGTCCGCTATGTTGAGGGCGGGCCCTTTCGTCCCAATGGCTGGAGTCTGAGACATGTCTCGTATGGACGTCAGGTGGGCCAGGGTCATGGGTCGGATAGTCATGTTGTCTGTGTCGCATGTCCATGTGTGTTCCCGGAGGGGCGTCGTGGGGGTCGCAGTGGTCGACGTGTCCAATGTTGGGTTGTGTGTTGTTCCTATGACCTTGATTTTGGTCTTTTCCCGTCATGATACTTACCATTTCGGCCACGCTCCGGCGTTCACAGTTGGACGATGGTTCGCCGCGGTCGGAGCGAGGGGAGTGTGGGCCGGAGGTAGTGTCACGGCCGGTTCCGTTCGAAATAGCGGTCCTGATTTCCGCTGCGCGATCAAGATCCATGGTCGCGCTTGGAGTCATGCTCAGTCCCTGTTTGTGGTCCCTACTTACCTGTTGGATTTGTTGTAAGCGGGTCGCGACGGTTTTCCTAGTTTCCGCCAGTTGTCGTTCCAGGTCACTCACTGTGTTTTGGAGCCTTGCTTTCTGGGCTTCGGAGTCGCGCAAGGTTATCCTGGAGATTATGGCCAGTCGTCCTAGCCACTGGGTTAGGGTCTTACCTTGGAGTTTCGTCGTAGTAGCTTCGGATGCTAACATGGAGGTAGCATCTTGTAAGTCAGAGAGTGAGCTGTGCTCAAGCGTGTCGTAGCCCCCTGGGAATAACTTCTCTGTGAGGTCTCGCAGAAAGTTATCCACTATGCCGTGTCCTTCTGAGACACCGTCGTGCTTGCTCGGTCGTGGCGAGTTTCCGCCATCGATTTCCATATTTGTGTGGGTGAGTGTATGCGAGGATGACTTGGAACGTGTTGTGTACGACACGGTGGGAGGAGGGAAAGGAGGGAAGCAGTGCTATAGAGAGGGTAGTTTAGCTGTTGGTCGTGTGGTGGTGTAGACCTTGGTGTGTGTCAAAACCGTGACTACAGCGTCCTCTCCGTGTGGCGGTGTATGCGAGTAGGCGGCCTAGGGCAGGGGCCGGGCGTTAGTACTTCTTCACCTGTGTGTCAACGGAGAGCGTTGGGGTTAGTGGCGTTGGCGCACGTAGGGTTAGCAGTGGCGCCGGCGGCAGCAGCAGTATTAGGGCGCGGCGTTAATCGCAGCGGTAGACGCGGCGTAAGAGACGCCGCGTGGGATGCACCTGCGTGGGAGACACACTTGCGTTTGTCGCGCACTTGCGTTTGTCGCGCACTTGCGTTTGTCGCGCACTTGCGTTTGTCGCGCACTTGCGTTTGTCGCGCACTTGCGTTTGTCGCGCACTTGCGTTTGTCTCGCACTTGCGTTTGTCTCGCACTTGCGTTTGTCTCCGACTTGCGTTTGTCTCGCACTTGCGTTTGTCTCGCACTTGCGTTTGTCTCGCACTTGCGTTTGTCTCGCACTTGCGTTTGTCTCGCACTTGCGTTTGTCTCGCACTTGCGTTTGTCTCGCACTTGCGTTTGTCTCGCACTTGCGTTTGTCTCGCACTTGCGTTTGTCTCGCACTTGCGTTTGTCTCGCAGCACTTGCGTTTGTCACGCACTTGCGTTTGTCGCGCACTTGCGTTTGTCGCGCACTTGCGTTTGTCGCGCACTTGCGTTTGTGTCGCACTTGCGTTTGTGACGCACTTGCAGCGCAGCTGTTGCGTTTGAGACGCACCAGCGGCGTTTGAGACGCAGCGTGTAAGCAGTAGCAAAAGGCAGCAGGCTGAGGCAGGGCAATGCAGTTTTAGTCACAGTGAGGGTTAGAAATAGAGTATTAGTTTTGGTGTAGTACCATCAAACATAGAGTTTGGCAGAGTAGAGTGGCTATTAACTGGAGCAACAAAGCAGCATGGAACAACCAGCCAGGCAGTGTTAATGTTATCACCACGGGCCGCAGTGCGGTCTAGCCGTGGCATGCAGGGGGGGCAGAATTAAAATTGTTAGTTTTAGTTATGTATTAGCAGTAATGTGTTCAAAATAGCAACATGCGCTAGAAGTAGCAGAGTTACAGTATGAAACTTGGTCAACGCAGTAATGTAGCTTAACAATTATGTTCAATAGGAGAAGCAGAAACAGAGTGTTAGCTGTACCAATGTATGGCAGTAATGTGGTTATTGACAAAACAATATGACATGCAGAAGGAGCAGAGTTACAGTATAGGGTTAGTTACCACAGTAATGTGTTTTTCATAACGTGCAGTAACAGAGGCAGAACCAAATTATTAGCTTTTGTTATGTATAGCAGTAATGTGGTCTAACCCCAAGAAAGAGAAAAGAAAAACATATGGCATGCAGAAGGAGGGGTAGAATTAGCGTAGTAGTTTAGTACAATCAAACATCAAGTTTGGCAAAGTAGAGATTTTAGTTGGAACAGAAACAGCAAGGGACAACAGCCAAAACAGTGTTAATGTTACAACCACAGCCAATCACTTGATCATGAGACGTGGTGCAGGGTAAAAGTCAAGACAGCAGCAATGTGGTCCCGGAAGTGGTGCACCGGGACCGGAAAGCGATTCTGTGTTAGACAATAAGAGAGGTGCGGCTCGTTTGGCAGTGTGCAGAGGCGGGTTAGCACTTCATGATCGTCAAAACACAGAGTCAGAGTGAAATAGGATAGTACGAAAGTGTAGTACGTTTTGTTATTGTTAGACAACGGGTAGGCAATGCAGCAGAATGGTATTAGCAGTGGGGATGCGGCTCTGGCTTTTAGCGCGCCAGGGCCGGAAGTTAGCCGTATGCTAAAAACAAAGGAGCGTAGCTAGCTAGTTTTGCCGGCAACGGGACGTTTTTAGAAGCAGTTTGAGCAGTAAACAATGAGTTTTAGTAACCGAATGCAGTTCGGTCAAACAGAGTAGCACTAGTTTTAACGGTAGAGAAGCAGCTTATAGTGTGAGCAGTAGTAGGACAACGATGTTGTCCGAGTGTAGCTTTGAGGCTTAGCAGGCCCGAGCGGAAGTTAGCTTTATGCTAGAACAAAGGAGGGTAGCTAGCCGTTAGCTTTCGAGCGTGGAGCGTTTTAGCAGTAGTTTATACAACGAAAGTCTGGAGCGAGTTGTACGGTTCGCACAAGCACGTATTTGCAGTGGTGGAATGGGGTTTGTATGTATGTACTGTAGGGTGCTGGTGTGTGTATACAACAGCAGGTTAGCAGGCAGAGAGAGTGGTGAGACAGAGTTAGCGTTAGCCACCTTTAGCAAAACGATAGCATCACATTCAAACAGCTGCCATTTACAGCCTTTTACACAGATATACTCGGTTACAATCCTGTGTGACTTGGGTCACAAAGGGACACAGAGTAGATCCGTACGCCCGTGTTCTGGACGCGGTGTACAGTGGAGTTATAAGAATAAGTTTTTGCGCTTTCTCTTCAGAGGGGGAGCGACTTTCACAGACTCACGCCGCCTGACTGGCCTAGACAGGGCGAAACGTTGGAGAGAATGCGTAGTACCTAGTACAAGCCAGGATTTTTTAAGACTAAATTAATAGTCTGGTGCATGCACGGACGCTTTTTCGCAAGCGTGGGGCGCAGGGGAGCTCAAATTGTTTTCGAATTCACCATAGCAACGGAGGTAGAGGAGCAGGGGGGGGTGCGGGAGTGGGGGGAAAGCGCTTTGAGCGTAGCAGTGCTTTAGGTAGCGTATCCAGATCAAATCACAGAGTACGAGTTGATAAATCTGGTCTATATTCGCGGATCTCACAAACAGGGTACCAATATGTAGGGTAACTACTTATATTGCTGATTATGTTATAAATTTAGTAGTGTGGAGCGGCTAGTCTCCGGATTAGGAACTCGCCGTTCCACCAATGGATCTGTCTTATTTATTTTGGGCACCAGCAGACGGTTGAGAGTCTACAACAGAACCAGGGTATTTGCCTCGATATCAGTCTTATGAATCTAATGGGTTGAGTACGAAAATCTGCCAGGGATATTCCGAAATCTAACAACACGACTCTGATAGGATTGAGTTAAAGAAAAGAGGTTTATTGATTACAAAATGAAGGTAAAAATATAACGAAAAGGGATTTCTGGTCACATTTAGGTAGGAGTCGTACACATTTCATTCAAATTGCACATTTAACAAGGAACAGTCTTACTTTGGAGGAGCGTAGAGGATGTGTTTGATGGAAAGAGGAGGATGGAGATGGAGATGGGAGGATGAGAGTGAAGAATAGGATGGAGGCGATGTCTCGTCCACGTGGTCTTTGTTCGAACAGGGAGCAGGAGGAAGCCGGCAGGTCGGGTCCAGGCGTGGGTTCCACACACGACACGGTCTAGAATAGCGTTGTGGTGGGGTGGTCCAAGGAGCCCGAAAGTGGCGATAGAAGGTCCTCGTCTCCGACAGCGAGAGTGGTTGCTGTCCTCGTGGATGTACAGGCCCGAGATGGTGGCGGGCGTAGGCCGTGTAGGGGACACGTACCAAACGGGATAGTTGTTATGATGAATTCGGGGAAAACAAGAGGGCGTCTACTGGTTTGCAGACTGGTTTTGTTGTGATCAAGAGTGGGCGCGTCCGTGACGTCATATTTGGGCGTCTTCCTTGGACAACCTCCTCACAACAGATGTGTTAAAAATGGGAACACACAGGATTAATACAGAAGATCATAACACATGTACAAACACACACACCGAATTCCATTACTTTCATGACATTGATACACACATGTAAGGTCTGCAACGGTTATCAATCATAATATCATCGAATAATGTCCTTTTTCGAGTGTTCGTCTTGGGTGCGGTAGCGTCCGGTGTCCGCTAGGGAGCGTCAGAGGGCCGCGGGTGGATCACATCGTTTGAGGAATGCCTCTGTTGGTGACAATGGTTGGTTTGTATAACGAAAGGGGCACCCAGATGGCTGTCCCGCTGTTTTATTGGTCCGACTGGCGTCTGTAATCCTCATGATTGATGGCGCCTTGTGGCTGACCCCATGGCTCCTTTGAAGCTGTATCTCTCCATTTGGTCAATGGTAAACAGAGCGGACAGGCTCGGCCCTGTCCTCAGTTTAACCTTACATTTAATATATAAGATCCACTCAACATCAGCAGCCTCCTCACAAATGACAATCATTTCTAACAATTGCTGCTCTACATCTCCAGGTTACAGTACATCCAATTATTGTTAACGACTTGTTGCGACAGGAGCAGGCGTACTGTTTTTGTAAAATGTCAATGTCAGCTTTATCTGTATCGCACATTGACAACAACATCAGCTGCCCAACAAAGAAAACAAAATCAAACAGCATATAATACATACAAGTACATGTTAAAAAGTAAAACTCAGTTAGGGTTACAAGCCAAGGTGTAAAATTGTGCCTTGAAGGAGCTGCTCTAATGTACAGGGGTAAACGATTCCACAGTATGGGAGCAGCAGTTCCCAGGTCTCAGGTTTTTAGACAAGACCTGGGAATATTCAACAGAAGCTGGTTTTCTGAGCTTTCTGATCTGACAGGGGCATACACAAAAAAACAGCTCTGACGAATAATGCAGGGGCTAAACCATTTAAACATATAAAACAAGCATCAGAATCTTAAAATTTACCTTGAACGTGAAAGGGAGCTCTATCTTACACCCTACTGTGTATCTTCTGACGGTATTCTACTGTGTTTAAGATCCTTTCAGGCTTCAATAGTGTTCAATAGACAATTCTGGTTATAATATTGGTCTGTCACGCCAATATTACCAAATAGTTGGAAGTCTTTTCAAACCATTTATTGTGTATTTGATACGCTAGAATGGCCTATTACTTTGTCAAACATTTCTCAATTGGTGTCTGTTGATCCTACAAATATCGTAGGACAGAAATGCATAAAAATAAAACACAAGTTGATCTTTTTGTCTGTGCTTATTATTTCTCCCCAGACTTTTCCACGGCCTGAACGGCGTGCGGATCGAGAACCAGGGCCGGCAGTCGCTGCTGGTGTTCTTCAACGTGTCAGAGGAGGACTACGGCAACTACACCTGCGTGGCTATGAACAACATGGGCATCACCAACGCCAGTATAATCCTCTACGGTGAGTGCATGAGTCAAGTATGTCTGAATACCTTTTCGTCTACCAAAATTCTGAAACTTCGAGAACTCCCAAGGCAGTCATTAAAATCATTGGGATTGATTGAGAAATAATTAATAAAGTTAAGTAATTTGTACATTATTTGCATTTCATAAGTACTTGGAATACTGCACATTAGCTTGTTCTCCTTTAAGACAACAATAATAAAAGTGATTTGGTTAGACAGGATTTAAGTGTAGTTCAGGCGATTAGAATCAATTTAAAATGTAAAAACAAATTCAAGCCTTTGGTTGAAATCATTGTGACCACCATGGCTTTATCAACTTGAACATTAGTGTAGTAGAAAGTTGCTGGGTTCCCATAGCTATGATCTTGTGATAGTACCTCAGAGAGTACAGGAATAGCCTCTCTCGCTCTTGCACAACTACATGTATATATTTATTTTTACAAGGATATACGGTACATAATATCTGTTTAGGGTGCTTTCAGTTGAAAATGAAGAAAAGACCTGACCTGTTTGTGCTGCTTCACACCTTTGCAGTTGAGCTCTTAGTTTCCATGGTAATTGCTCTCTCAGTACCTTTGACTGCCCTGTTATTGCTGTGGTCTATTGTGTTCTATGATAATGTGGCATAGCTCGAAGGCTTGAAGAGATGACCTGAACTCTAGCTCAGGTCCAGTTGGAATAAAGAAGCCTGCATAATGCTACACCTACCTTCATGTTAATCCTTGTTAAAGACACGTGGCAGAGGGCAGATGCAAATATCCAGGTTACAAAGTCCTCCTCCGCGAAAATGCAGGCTTTACCTTCGCACGCTCTCAGGCAGACGCTCTTACATGTGCAGTTTGTGTGTGCTATGGTGAAGAAAATGTGAATTTAATATGCTCGTGGTTAATATTGCCTTTTGAGCTCGGGATCATGACTTTGTCTGTTATAGAACTTTACGTATGCCAATGGAGATTTTAAGATATTGGATTCTACAAATTGAATTATTCTCAGACTGAAAAGAAGTGATACATGGATTTACCAGATTTGCCACTGTGGGTTCATTGTTTCTATTCATCTTACTCCAGATACATTACATACAGGCTGGGTCCGAGTCCTAGCCTGGGTCAGTGGTCTGCTTCCTAGTTTGGGTCAGAGTCCTGGGTCCGAGTCCTGATCTGGGTCAGAGTCCTGGGTCTGAGACTACCTGAGGGATTTTATATTTTTATCTTTTTTTTAATGTACTGTGATTATTTATGATTTTAATGCTTTCTTGTTCTGTTCAGCACTTTGAATTGCCTTGTGTATGAATTGTGCTATACAAATAAACTTGCCTTGCCTTGCCTTGCCTTACCCAGACTTTCCAGATCCAAGACTACCTAGTCTCAGGCCATAGTCTTTGTCAGAGTCAGAGTCCTGGGTCTAGGACTACCCAGACTTCCCAGTCTCAAACCCTAGACTACCGAGTCTCAGAGCCCAGTCTTGGTATGAGTCTGAGTCCTGGGTCCAAATCCTGATCCTCGGTTTGAGTGAGTCTGGTCTTGTATCGGACCTTTGGTTAAGTGCAAAAAGACATCCTATTAAAATTAATGGATAGTTTTGACGAATAGCAAAATATAAAATGCTACAAGACTAAACATGGAAAAGATCTAAAAAGTCCCATTAGGGAAAAAAAAGGAAAAAGTACAGATTGAAGTAAGATACATTAGTAAAATCAGATGAAGAATAGGATGTGTTTTTAACTAACTTGATCTGGTCCGCAGGTCCAGGGGCCATGCACGATGTGAACGGAGCTGCGGTCATCCCCGGCTTCTCCCTATGGCTGCTCCTGTCTCTAATCTCCTTCTACCTGCTCCAGTTCTGATGACCACCAGGCTCCATCGCACCCAAACCCAACAAAAACTATTACTACCCCCCTCCGTAGAGCAGACCGGACCCCCAACATAACCTCTCAGTCCCCCCCTTCGGCTTTGCATCTGAGCGAGCGCCACGGCCGCGTCCAAATTCTGCACTAATCTGACGCCGGTAGAACTGGAATTTGTGTCCCCAACAATACGCAACAATACTTTTTTATGTGGAAATGGGAAAAAAAGATTACATGTATCTGTTGATAGTTGACTGTTTATTGCCCAATATTGAAGTGTACATTCAGATAATTATTGTGTCACGTCCTGTTCAATATCTGTACAATACCATGACGCTTTTGTAAGTAAACTATGAAAAAAATGGATGAAAAAAGCAACGTGATTGTTGAATTTTACTGTATTTTTACAGTTGTATGCAAAAGGAATACCAGATCCTTCACTGGAGAAAACCACATACACTATTTGCGTTCTCAGCCACATAGCTCTACGGCATCGTGCATCCAGCCCGTTACATTTTAGTGTTTAGACGATGTAGAAATGTACAGGCCACTCTTACGCTCTTGTTTTTGATGCATAATATGGTTCTTGTTAAATGGTATATTTGAAACGCAAAGAAAGTGCCATAGCAGCTCTAGCATGGAAGAATGCAAGGTCTCCAATTGCTAGATTGAGTCAATTCAATTAATTCATGCATAGCCCTAAATCACATCGGTAGTTTTTCTCAGAGGACTTTACACAACTGTTTAATTCGTCATCACAGATCAGAGAATCAAACCGTTCAGACACAAGAAAAAAAAACAGAACAGATTGGTATTGGTCCATGAGGGGCAGATGGTCAATGTCCATAGGCGTTGATACATGTCCATACATGTTGTTGAATGTCAACAGTGTTTAGATCGAAGGGAGGAAAAAATAAGGTCCATGGTTTAATCAAAAAGCCATTCGTCTTTAAAGCTGGGGTACCCAACTTTCAAATCACAAAAAAATAGGATGCTGTAATAGCATCTTTTGCCTCTGTCACATATTTATCACATCAGATTTTTTAGACAGAAGAGTGAAAGAGAGAGGACAAACTTCACTCAGCCAATCACCTCTCAGCCCACACCACATTCTGGTTAGTCCACACCATGTTGTGGTCTACAGTTTTGTCTACCAGCTTTGAATGTGCTTCAGAATTCAATGATTTGTGAGTAAAAGCTTTTTCAATGATAGAACTTTAGCTCCCAAGTGCACTCACCTGTGCACTTGGGTGAGTTTTTGTGTGAATAAAATTGGTGCCAGCAAATACTTACAGTACAGGCAATACAATTAGATTGATCAAAAGTTAGATGCCACTGAAAATAAGATGGCAAAACAGTTTCCCAAATGTAAATATTATGAGTTACCTGCATAGAAACTAGTGAGGAGGTTAGCAATAGTGTCCTCAAATGCAATTTTGAGCTCTGTCTGTGCTTAGACTGCTGCCCCAGACCCCTTTCAACACTCCAACATAAAAGTATACATACATTGGCAGCAAAGTTCAAAAAGTAGCTGCTTTTAGTCCTGCAAGTACTGTGCTGTTTTACTGTTTTACGGAACATTAAGTCTCAAGGATTCCCACTGTTAGGTTAACATGTATAAATGTATTTTAGAGATTATGATTCTTGGACTTAATCTGAATACTGACTTTTTTTATTTTATTTACGATGGAGCTGCTATGGCACTTTGGACGTGCGTGTTTGCAGTGAGACGATCTGTATGAACCTGTGCAAGTGCATTTTGTAAAGACTTGTAACCTGTAAAAGAAAGACAAGGATCAGCTGTGCCCTGTCTGTGCCCTGTGCCACAGGGAACAGACGCCTACATGGGAATGCTTTTGTTGTCAAGTTGTGTGCTTTGCCCATGGTGAACGAGCCTGACCGATGAAGAGATCAAACGAGAAAAACTTTATTTATGAAAAAGAAAAACAAATTTGACATGTACTCAGAGTTGACACTGCGACTGTGTCCAGACTGAGGTGTTTATCTAAAAGCATAGTTCCTCATGTGCAGCCTAAATTAACCTCCAACCTCCATCAGAAGATACTTTTGTTTAATGTAAAAGTACACATATTAGGCAAACACAATCTTTTCAGCCATGCTTTTTCTCCACAGATTTTTTTACTTGATTTACTTCATCGAGCCCTTGTCCCACCTGCCCAAAAAAGACCATAGAACGAGTGATTGAAGAAATTATATTGGAAAAAGATTGCAACATAAAACCAAGATGTAAAATGGTAAATGAAATTACATGTAAGAAGCTAGACAGGGTTAATAAAATGAGGCTAAACTAAATCAAGTGCTGACGTCATCAAATTTATGGAGGACAACAACCTAGCAACCAAAGAGCCAATCAGGAGCTGCTCTGTTCCAGCTCACACTACTCACAAGGGTACGGAAGGCACAAGATTGGTCAGATGAACTATTAATCACAAAAGTGTGCCTTCAATTAGATTTATCCATTAGAACGTATACAACCTCTTCCTCTTTTTTTTTTTTTTTTTTTCCCCCGAAACATTCATTCATCCATTTTCTTCCAATTCATTCCCGGGCCTCTTAGCAGAGACGGCCGGACTTCCTCCGACTCATCAAGGGAATCCCGAGGCACTTTCTGGCCAGCCGAGAAACACAGTCCCTCCTATATGTCCTGGGTCTCCCCCAGTGAGACACGCTCAGAACACCTCCCCAGCGAGGCGTCCAGGTGGTATCCAAAAAAAAACATATGCCCGATCCACCTCAATTCTAAATTACCAAATATGGTAAGGGCCAAAATTAACATATGTTACAAACCGTATTCAGCTCAAAAAGAATGCAAAATAAAACAAGTAAAAAGTTAAATTAAATGGAATAAAAAAAATAAAATAAAAAGTAGAACAGCTAAATATACAACAGTTATTTACTTAAATCAATACTACAACACAAGCCATTTTGTGTGTCTTTAAACACACACAGAAACACAAATATGCATAATATGTGTATTGTTGGGTCTTTGGTTGGTAATTTCTCTGTTTGTCGCATGGCGCCGTAAAGATGGCGCCGTGGCAAGAGCTCTGGTGTGTGTCGTCTTCTCTGTCTGGTGCACACCGGGGTAGTCTTGCACGGTTTTTCCAATGTGGTTTTACTGCAAATGGCAAATAAATGAATCTGAATCTGAATCTGATCTGTGTAGGCCAACAGAGGAGGAGAGGTGAGGGAACATAGTCAAAGTTTGTGAGAACACATCAGTCTGGACAGAGGCAACAAAGGACAAAATTGATGTCGGTAAACTTGAGTCCATTTTAACTCCAAATTGTAATCCCGGATCACGCTGACGGTGCATTTATCTGATCCACCATGAACTGATGTACAATAATCCACATTATTATGGTTTTTTGGACATGTATTTAATTCCATGGGCGTTTGGACACACTGGCCCCCATTTCACTTATTATTGCGGCTGATTTGGAGGCGATTGATCACATGAACAGTCGATTCTGTTTTTTGATATGTTGTGGCCTTTCTGAGGTCCATCACTATTGTGGTATATAGTCATCGTATCATTTTGAGAGACTGCAATTTGTCCATAAACTGGTTAAATGTGAAAATGTGTCTTGAGTTTTTCTTTTAACCTCCCGCACACACAACAACATGAAACACGAACATGTTTATAGATAGTTTATCCATCTGATAATGGATAATAAGGTTATAGCTTACAAAGAAAAGGGGTTAGTCTGTGAAGTGATGCTTTACCCAGCTGTCTTAAATGGAGACAGTTGTAAAAATGTAATGAATGATTGTCAGAAGCAGGATTTGTTCTCACTACTTTGTGTCAACTAGACCGAAGCTGATTCCCCAAAACCTTTAGTACAAAAGGGGAGGATCATATTCAGGTAAGAGAACACATATTCCATTCATCTGTAATTATAATTCACTAATAATGATCATTTTATCATAATGCACCTTACCTGCTGCATTTTTACTATTGTTCATCTGGTCATATTCTCTGCTGCTAAAGTACAACACCAACCACCTGTAGATGTGAAGCCTCATGACTGCTGCTGACTACAGTGTGTGCCCCCAAGTGTACTTATCCTTGACCCAAGTGCAATTATAGTTCATTATCTTCTCTGATTCTATTATCTTAAATAATAGATCTTGTTTGATGTGTGCATATTCTGAGTGCTCTTGTTTCTCCTTGTATCCTGCTGTAATGTGCACAACTATGACAATGGCCTATTCTCACTGATAATGGGGTTGAAAAAAGGTTCTCTTATCTGAACTTATTTTACCGTGAATAAATCTACAAATCTATTCTCAATAATCGTAAAATCAACCACTGTTACTTCTGCAAGAGCTCATTATTTTATTTTACTATATTGACCTTTTTTTTTTAATCAAGGGAGTCCTGGCCCCAGAGACCGGCAAGAGCAAATTGTGGGGGACTTTTGTACATGTTTTAAGCACTCAGAGAATAGTTTTACAGACACGGGTAGAACATGTAAACTCCACACAGAGACTTTGGAGGAGGGTCCGAACCCAGGATCTTCTTGCGGTGAGGCACAAACGCAATTTTGTTATGCTACAGTGGTTAGCGCATTAAAAACAACGTAGTAGTGTATATATGTGTATTTTTGATATAGATTTATAGACAGAGAGAGAGACTATAAATGTGTATCATTATTTATTTTATTATCATTACTATTATCTGTATCTTCTAGCATAGGTTAAGGTGAAGTACGTTTGCTAATTTGCAAAAATCAGAAAATTCTACTGATGACTACGAGATATAGCCTACAGGGGTGGGAGTATATAAGTTTTACTTCTTCTCACTCCTTTTTCGAGTTGATACTTGGTTATTTAAAATAAATGTGTATTGTAAATCTCAGTTGTGTGTATTGAACTCGAAATAAAAAAATGTCATTCATTCAAGATTCCAGGTTTAGTTTAGTTTAAGGACGATGTGATTCAGGAAATGCTACTTTCCATTTGTAGTCCTTCATAAT